CATCCCAAAACCAGCCCAGCTTGTCCCCACCGCCCTAACCTGTTCTTCCTCCCACCTGTCCCCTCCTCCCACCTCAAACCGCACCCCCATCTCCTACCTACTAGCGTCATCCCGCCCCCTTGACCTGTCCGTCCTCCCTGGACTGATCTATCTCCTCCCTACCTCCCCACCTACACTCACCTTTACTGGCTCCATCCCCGCCTCTTTGACCTGTCTGTTTCCTCTCTACCTATCTTCTCCTCTATCCATCTTCTATCCGCCTCCCACTCTCTCCCTATTTATTTCAGAACCCCCTTCCCCTCCCCCATTTCTGAAGAAGGGTCTAGGCCCGAAACGTCAGCCTTCCTGCTCCTACGATGCTGCTTGGCCTGCTGTGTTCATCCAGCCCTGCACCTTGTTGTCTCAGCGTTTCAGCTTTGACTGCTTTCTGTGGTTGCAAATTGCACGGCTCAGTAATCTCCGGGTGAAGGAATTTCTTCTCGTCTCAGTCCTAAAGTGGTTTAGCCTGTATCCTTACACTGTGATCCCTGGCTCTCAACCACCCTGCCACCAGGAACATCTTTTCTGTGTCTCGCCTCCATCCCAAAACCATGTTGCTATGCTTGATGACGTCTAAATCAATTAATCAGTGCAATTAGACATGTCAGGACTCAGGACATGTTGTTACACACCACTGGAGTAGGTGAGACTTGAACATGGACTTCCTGGCTCAGAGCTAAGGGTACTACCACTGCATCACGAGAGCCATGATAATTGTTTATATACTTCCTGTTTCACTTCGCAGTAACCCTTTCCTTTTACAGAACGGAATCTGACAACTGATTTCATTTTGAATACATGTTAAGGCAATTTTGAGAGCACTCCTCCAACACAATCAAACTTGTATCAACCAACCTGTGACTGTAAGAAAGACATGCCACAGAACTAATATTTACCCCTTGCCTTTGGTATTTGATACCAGAAACCATATGATATAGTGTAGCATTCTCCTGTTTACTTCTTAAATGTAGTATGTGCAACATCAGGCCAATATGACAGAGGGAACAGTTCCTCCCTATTCATGCAGGCCGCTCATGATTTTGAAAACCTCTATCAGATCTCTTCTTAGCTGCTTTCTAAGGAGAACAGTCCGAACCTCTTCAGTCTATCCTCAAACTGTACACTCAGCTGACGTCTTACAAAAGTTCAACATCACCTCTTTGCTTTTGTATATTGTGCTTCTATTAATAAAGCTGAGGATACTGTATGCATTACTTACTGCTGTCTGTACTTTCAGTGATCTGTGCACACATACACCCAGGGCCCTCTGCTCCTGCACCTCCCCCTTCAGCCATTGTACCCTCTATTTCATATTATCTTTCAATGACCTTCCTATGAAAGTGCACACCTCATACTTCTCAGCATTGAAACTCATCTGCCATATGTCTGCCCATATCACCTAGTTCTATACACACTGTAGAAGATATCTACCCTTATGGAGTTCTACACTGTCCTCTTCACAGCTTACAGCTCATCCAAGTTTTGTCATCTGCAACAGATACATGGGAGTGCTACCACCTGCAGGTTCCCCTCCAAGTCACACTCCATCTGAACTTGGAACTAATATTGCTGTTCTTTCACTGTCAGTCATCAAAATCCTGAAACACTCTTGCTGACTGTTACACTAGGACTTTGGTACTTCAGGAAGGCAATTCACCACTACCTTTCCAAGGGCTGTTAAGAATAGGTAACAAATGCTGATGTCTCTAGAAAAACACTCAATGTATGAAATAAATTTAAAAATAATTTGGAAACAATGATTGTAGTATCATTTTCTAATATGCCTTTTCTTAACTGCCAGTGAGAAGCTGTTATCTGATAGATAATGCTTGTAGATTAAAGTCTTTCAGTCCAAATATTGTAAGACCATAAGAAAGAAGAACAGGAGTAGGCCATTTGGCCCCTCAAGCTTGCTCCACCATTCAATAGGATCATGGGTGATCTGACATTCCTCATATCCACTTTCCTGCCTTTCCCCAATCTATCTATCTCTGCCTTAAATGCACAGAAATTTATTGGACTGCTTTGTCCTAGACTGTCCCATGAGTGGAAGCATCCTCTGAGCATTTACTCTGTCCAGCCCTTTAAGAATCCTACATGTTTCAATGAGAACACCTCTCATTCTCCTAAACTCTAGTGGAGTCCCAACCACCTCAACCTTTGTTCATGAGATAATCCCTTCATATCAGGGATCATCCTAGTGAACCTTCTCTGAACTGCCTCCAATGAAATATTTCTTTCCTTAATAAGGAGACCAAAATTGATCACAGTACTTCAGATGTGGTCTCACCAGTACATTGTACAGTTGCAGTAAAACTTACCCACTCTTACATCTAAATGTCTTGAAGTGAGGGCCAATATTCCATTAGCATTCTTGATTAGCTGCTGTGCTTCGCGCACAAGTACATCTAAATCCCTTTATGTTGCAGCTTTCTGCAGTTTTTCTCCATTTAAATAATACTGTTTGAAGGTGGATAAATCTGCTGGTCCTGACCAGATATATCCAAGAACCCTTGCAAGAGGCTAGAGAAGAAATTGTGGAGGCCTTGGCTGATATATTTGCATCATTGTTAGCCACAGGTGAGGTTCCGGAATACTGGAGGGTAGCGAATGTTGTAGCGAATTCAAGAAGGGCTACAAAGAAAAATCTGGGAACTATAAACCAGTAAGCCTAACATCTATGGTAGATAAGTTACTTGAGAAGATTCTGAGGGATAAGATATATTTGCATTTGGAAACACAGGGTTTGGTTAGGAGTAATCAGCATGCCTTTTGTGTGTGGAAGATCATGCCTCACAATTTGTTAGAGTTCCTTGATGAAATGACCAGGTAGGGTGGGTACATTATGAGGTGGGTACATTAACAACATTTAAAAGGCATTTGGACAAATACATGGATAGGAAAGGTTTAGAAGGAATGGGCCAAGTGCAGGGAAATGGGGTTAGCGTGGATGGACATTTTGGTCAGTATGGAGCAGTTTGGGACAAAGGGCCTGTCTCCATGCTGTAGGACTCTATGACTCTATGTTCTTTTGTTCTCCCTTTCAAAACGAATAACTTCACGTTTTCCTACATTATATTCCATTTGTTTACTTTTTACCCACTTAGGTGAAAAGGCAAGTTGTTATCTATTTTGTGTCATCTTCAACATTGGCTACAGTACACTCACTTCCTTCCTCCAAGTCATTAATAAATGTTATAAACAGTTACAGTTCAGCATTGATTCCTGTCGAACCCCACTAGTTGCAAGTTGAAAAAGAACCCATTATCCCCACTTGCTGTTTCCTACCCTTTAGCCAGTTCTCAATCCATGCCAATATGCTGCCTTCAACACCAAGGGATCCACGCCAATAGATTGCCTACATCGCCAGGGACTCTTATCTTATGACTTAACCTTTTATGAGGTACCTTGTCAAACTCCTCTGGAAATCCAAATAGAACACATCTACTCGGTCCTTTTATCCACTCTGGTTGACACTTCTCAAAAACCTCAAAAGATTAGAATAGTCATTTATTGTCACTTGTATTTTTACAAAAAATGCAACAAAAAGTGTTTGAGTCCAATTTCCCTTTCATGAAGCCATGCTGACTCTGATTAGATTATGATCTTCCAAACGTGCTGGTATTACTTCTTTAATAAATCGATTCCAGTATTTTTCCGAGAATAGTTAGGCTAATTGGCCTGTAGTAACCTTTTTGCTTCCTTTTTTTTTGCATGGGGGATCACATTGGTAGTTTTCCAATCGACTATTACTTCTCCAGAATTCAAGGATCTTATGGAAAATTACAACCACTGCATCCACTTCTAGCTACTTCTTTCCGGATCTTAGGATCAGGGCCAGGGAACCTATTTGCCTTTAGTCCCATTAGTTTATCTTGTACTACTTCTCTAGTGATGGTACTTAATTTCTCCTCTGTATTCTCTGGTGTAAATGGGATATTCAAAATATCTTCCACGTGTTCGACTCCTTTGCCATTTCTTCATTCTCCATAACTATCTTGTAGAATCATTTTCTGAGGGGCCTATGTTACTTTATGGCCTCTCTCTCTTTATATATTTAAAGAAGCTCTTGCTGTCAGTTTTTATATTCTTCAGTAAGTTTACCCTAGTTGGTTATTTTCTTTCTCTTTATTACCTTCTTAGTCCTGCTTTGCTGGATCATTGTGATATGCATCTCTCAACAAGACTATGATTCCTCATTAACTTTTGGCAACCATGTTTAACTTTTAGTTAATTGTTTTTAAAATGAAAAATACCTGCATGTTTTGAAATAATCTTATATTTTACCAGAGTCTGATAATCATTGTATGTTATCACACTAAATTGATTAATTTGGTTCCAGTATTATATATGCAAATAATGTTTTGAGTTATTTGGTTTGCAGGCCTCGAAGCTGTCATGGCTTGAAAGAAAGGTGGCTGCAACATTGTTTAACGAACCACCAAATTCAACCATACAGGATGCTTTGCAATATTTCCTCAAGGTAATAAACTTTTGCCAGTAAGTCAGTTTTAAATATCCTGCTGGATGTCTAGTTATTGAATCAAGTGCTGATTTTAATTTTAAAACATTTGAAAGTAAAGCGGAAATTCAAGGTAAATAAAATCACATTTATTTCTTACTGTCATGTATCTAGTTTTGGCTAAACCTTCCTAGTTTTGCACTTCTTCACTGAACTTGGAGGCTCGCTTTTTGTGGTTCATGGGTAAGGACTTCCAAATCCTCCTTTTCCATAGCTTGCTGCGGTCTTTCTCCATTCAGTTCCTCCAACCCTCCTGCCAAAGCGCATGACTTCATATTTATATTCCACCTGCCACATTTTTATGCTCTTGCTTAAAATGTCTATATGCCTCTGTAGACTTTGTCATAGAAGGATGAGTGATGTCCTAGTGGTATCATTGCTAGACTATTAATTTGGAGACCCAGGTAATATCCTGGGACCTGGGTTTGAATCCCACCATGGCATAAAAATATGAAATTAAAAGTCTGATGATGACTGTGTTGATTGTCAGGAAAAATCCATCTGGTTCACTAGTGTTTTTTTAGGGAAGGAACCTGCCATCTATACCTGGCCTACGTGTGACTTCAGACCCACAGCAATGTGGTTGACTCAACAGCTCGCTGGGCCACCAGGGATGGACAGTGAATGCTGGCCTTGCCAGCAATGCCCACTTCCTGAAACATAGAAAATAGGAGCAAAAGTAGCTCAGTCATTCTGTCGAATGCCCACACCATTCAATCCAACTTGCCTACTTTCTTCCTATCCCTTTTAAACCCTTTAGCCCTAAGAACTATGTCAAACTCTTGGAAAACATTCAATGTTTTGACTTAACTGCTTTCTGTTGCAGAGAATTACACAGGCTCATCACTCTCTGGATAAATGGCCTACTCTATATCCTTAAACAGTGAACCCTGGTTCAGGGCTCCCCAGTCATCAAGAACATCCTTCCTGCATTTACCCTGTCTGAACCTGTTAGAATTTTATAGCTTTCTTTAAGATGCTCCTCCTCATTCTTCTAAACTCCAGTGAATACATTCTTAACCGATCCTGTCTTTCATTGTACGTCAGCCCTGCCATTCCAAGAATCAGTTTGGTAAACCTTTGTTGTACCTGCTCCATAGCATGAGCATTCTTTCTTCAATAAGGAGATCAACACTGCACACAATACTCCAGCTGTTGTCTCACCAAGGCCCTCTTGCTGTCTCAATCTATTGCCATTCAGATAATATTCTGCTTCCTGTTTTTGTTACCAAAATGGATAACTTCACATTTTATTCACAAAATATGCCATTTGCTATACTTCAGACAACTCAATCAACTTGTCAAAATCACACTGAAGCATCACTGTATCCTCGTCACAGTAAACTCTCTACTCAGCTTTGTGTTGTCTGCAAATATGGCTATGGTTCACTCACTTTTTCCTCATCCAAGTCATCAATATATATTATAAATAATCATGGCCCCACTACTAGTTACAGCTTGCCATCCTGAAATTGCCCCATTATACTAGCTGTTTGTCTTCTATGGTTAGCCAATCTCTGTGTATGTTAACATACGACTTTCAACACCATGGACTGTTATCTTATTCAGCAGCCTAATGTGTGGTACCTTATCAAAATTCTGAAGATTGAAATGTATTGCATCCATTGTTTCCCCTATATCTGTCATGCTTGTTACCTCCTCAAAGAATTCTAGTAAATTTGTCAGGCATGATTTCTCCTTCATAAAGCCATGCTGACTTGATCATATTATGTATTTTTAAATTCTCTGCTATTACATCATTAATATTAAGCTAGCTGGCCTATATTTAACTTTTTGCCTTCCCTCTTTATTTATAAGTGTTACATTGGCAGCTTTCCAATCCTTGGGACTTTTCCAGAATAGGAACATAAGAAATATTAGCAGGAGAAGGCCATCTGGCCCCTTGAACCTCCCCTGCCTTTCAACAAGATTATGACTAATCTTTTCGTGGACTGAGCTCCACTTACCCACCCGTTTTACCATAGCTCTTAATTCCTTTAGTGTTCAAAAATCTAACTTTGCCTTAAGCACATTCAACGCAGTTGCCTAAACTGCTTCACTGGGCAGATTCTCAACACTTTGGGAGAAGAAGTTCCTCCTCAACTCAGTCCTAAATCTGCACCCCCTCATTTTGAGGCTATGCCCCCTAGTTCTAGTTTCACCAGCCAGCGGAAAGAACTTCCTTGCTTCTATCTTATCTATTCCTTTCATAATTTTATGATCCCCACCCCCATTCTTCTAAATTCCAATGAGTGTAGCCCCGTCTACTTAATCTCTCCTCATAAGCCGACCTTCTCAACTCCAGGATCAACCTAGTGAACCTCCTCCAGTGCCAATACAACCTTGCTCAAGTAAGGAAACCAAAACTGTACATGGTACTCCAGGTGTGGTCTCACCAGCACCTTGTACAGCTGCAGCATAATTTCCCTGTTTTAAACTCCACCCTTCTAGCAATGAAGGACAATATTCCATTTGCCTTCTTAATTATCTGCTGCACCTGCAAACCAACTTTTGTGATTTATGCACAAGGACAGCCAGGTCCCTCTGCACAGTAGCATGCTGCAATTTTTTACCATTTAAATAATAGCCCATTTTTCTGTTATTCCAACCAAAATGGATGACCTCATATTTACCAACGTTGTACTCCATCTGCCAGACCTTTGCCCACTCACTTCACCTATCTGTAACCCATCTGCAGACTTTCAGTGTCCTCTGCACACTTTGCTCTACTACTCACCTTAGTGTCATCTGCGATCTTTGACACGCTACACTTCAGCCCCAACTCCAAATCACCTATATAAATTGTGAACAGTTGCAGTCCCAACACTGATCCCTGAGGCACACCACTAGCCACTGATCTCCAAACAGAAAAAACACCCATTTATTCCCACTTTTTGCTTAGTTAACCAATCCTCTATCTGTGCTAATACGTTACCTGTAACCTGTATCAGAGCTACACCACCTCCCTTTCCTTCCTGTCTGTCCTTCTGCATAGTTTGATGCCCCTGAATATTTAACTCCCAGTCATGACCATCCTGCAACTATGTCTCTGTAATGGCCACTAAATCATACCCATTCTAAATGATTTGTGCTGTCAGCTCATTTACCTTATTTCGAATGCTACGAGTATTCAGGTAAAGTGCCATTATGCTAGTTTTTAAACCTTCTTTTTGAATCTTAACACCTCCACCAGATGAATATTTGTTTTTAAACATTGTCTCTTTTTCTGTCATTACCTGGCTTCTGCTTATCTTAGTGCTACACTGGTCAGCTGCTTCTTGCTTTTCATTTATTATCTTGATTCTCTTTCCTTAAGTCCTCACCCACTCTAGCTAACTCAGAGCCTCCATTTAGGTTCACATCCCCCTGCTAAACTAGTTTAAAGTCTACCCAACAGCAAAGCCTCCATTTTCAATGCACACAGGCAAATCTCAAGTCTACCCAAAACCACCCGCAAGAATATTGTTCCTATCACTGTTTGAGTGAAGACCATCTCTCTTGAACAGGTCCCACCTTCCCCAGAAATGGTCCCAATTATTCAGAAATGTCAAGCCCTCCCTCCTACACCACTCCTCAGCCACATATTAAACTGCCTAATCTGCTAATTCCTTGCCTCATTAGCATGGCGATTACTACCTTTTGAGGTTCTGCTTTTCAACCTGGCTCCTAACTTCCTAAATTCAGCCTTCAAGACCTCATCCCTCTTCTTACCTGTGTCATTGGTTCCAACGTATACCATGACCACTGGCTGGTTCCTTTCCACTGCACCACCACAAAATGCTCTGCTCCCACTGAGCAACCTGCAGGACCCTTTGAACCAGAGAGGCACCACACCATCCTGATGCTACTAGAGTGTCTGCAGAAGCTCCTGTCTGTTCTCCTAATGATCAAGTCCCCTATCGCTACAATGCTAAAAGCCTTTTTCTCCCCGCTCTGTGCAGTTGAGCATCCCGTGGTGCTGCGGGTTTTGCTTTGGCTGCAATTCTCTGACGCATTATCACCATCACCAAAACTCAGCACAAAGTACCGCTTGGTTATTGGAATGGCCTTAGGGGACTCCTGCGCTACCTGCCTCGTGTTATGCTTGCGTGTGATGGCCATCGCCTTGTCCATGCTATCCACGTAATTCTCATTCCCCTGGATGCTCCTCAGTGCCTCCAGACCTTGCTCAAGCTTCATAACCCGGAGCTCAAGTTGGAGTTACTGACGGCACCTCCTGCACACATGTTGCTCATCAATACAATCAACATCCAAGAATTCCCACATATTACAGCTGGAGTATACAGCTTGATGGAGCTGGCCTGTCATCCCTTTAATTAACCCAAAAATTACCCACTTTAAAAAAACTAAGTCTAATTCTCAGACACACACTAACAGTTAACTAGTAAGTATAGTCATTTCAACGGGTTATTTGATTAGAGTAACGAAATTAGAGCTATACTCACCACTCAAATGGCCATTCACTTACCGGCTTGTCTGTGACATCACTCTGGGATCTCACACTCCCTCTCACCAGAAGCTGTTTAGGAATGTAAATAGTCCTGGAGGATTACTAGCAGTGCATCCACTATTGTCTGTAAATACTTCTTTAATACCCTAGGATGTATCTCATCAGGTCCAGAGAACTTATCAGTCTTCAGCTGCTGATTTTTCTAGCACTTTTTCTCAAGTGATAGTTAGCATATTTATTTCCTGTCCTCCTTTTGTGCCTTGAATGTTTGGTCATTTTGGGGTGCTATTGTTATCTTCTACTGTGAAGACTAATGCAAAGTGTTTATTCATCTCCTGTGCCATTTTCTGGTTCCCCATTACTGTTTCCCCACCCTCATTCTCTAAGGAATGCCTATTGGGCCAAGGGCCTTTAGAACAGTGGAGTACACTATATCCCTGAAGATTGCTCAGTCATCCTAAATGCAAAGTCTCCATTTTCAATTGCACAGACAAATCTCAAGTTTCCCTGA